CTAAATCAAAGCCACTAGGTTCAAAAATGTTATGTGGCTCTTCTGGGCATATATCTGCATCCGTCTTACACAGGGACGGATAGTGAAACTGGGAGTTGACTTTGTCTCCCTTTTTAAAGGTTGAGGCAGATATGGGTATCAGTCATGAAAATCAGGCGTGGAAAGTCGCCCCCGTGCACTTTCGCCTTTTTGCACCTTGTGAAGGTCAAAGATTAAATCACATCTCGTGATTCTTGTCAATCGGAATGCGGGGGCAAGATTCCACTGGCGCGAAAGTGGAAATAACCTTTCGCTTCAGCCACGGTTCGAACAGCAGTTTTTCACGTCTCATTATAGGACGCCCTCTAGGTATCCAACTTACTGGACATACTGAACCAGTAGCAGACCGTAGCACGTAGCATATAGCACCACAGGGTCCTATGCTCCCAGAAACATCGGATTGCCCGACCCCAGCAGGCAACCTATCAATAGTGAATGGGAAGTACTGTGACTATTGCGGTCCCGATTATACCAGACGACCGATACAAGTGGAATTAAGTTTTTCAGGTCTTATGCATGACGCGAGCTACAGTGTTTTCGCTATAGTCAGACAATTATTTACTTGACTCGGACACTTGTGCATGGGATGTTCCTCGTGCATGCGTGTCCGAGTCAAGGGAAAAAATGTCTGCCTCGAGTGAAAGAGTCAGGGACGTAGAGGAGGGGGAAGGGGGTTGTCCTGGGTGTCTGGAGACCTCCCGATATGAAGCAAGATTTCATGAAAAAGGAGTAGGGGATGGGGGGGGGGGGCGAAAAGTTCCCGAGTTTTCATATATACAACTGAACTTTTGACTTGTACTCCTATTTCACCTTTTAAATATAATCACTCTTAACCAATACATTACCCCGCCATTTTGCTTCCACCTTTTTATTTGTTTAATTCCAGTAGCCAACGATTCTTCAGGAGTAGCTTTCACTTGCTGAATTAGGACTAATTCAAGGTCAGACCTTGACACCCATATCTCTTTCTTTGCAGTACATTTTTAAATTTGCGAAGAGGAGGGGTAATTCTGAACCATCAGGTGGGTGGGTTGAAGTCCCAGGCAAGGTCATGGGTTGCCCAAATGGTGACATAGGCGAAATGAGAATGGGACTGCCCTGCTGCATCACCAAGCCCTCGGATGAGCCCTAGGAAGCCCTGGGTACTATTACTTGCTATGAGTCAAGGATTGCCTTTACCTAAGCCAGTGGATGAAAGTTACTCCTGAAGAATGGTTTGCTGCTGGAATTGGTCTCCATCCGGTGGCGCGATGGAAGAAGTATTGGTTAATTGTGATTATGTTTAAAAGGTGGAAGATGCGTAAAAGTCCAACGTTCAGTTTTGTATCCAGGAACTTTTCGGTCTCCTCAGAGAGGATTCAGAGGAGGGGATTGACCCCTCAAGTCGGGAGTCCGACTACGTGTTCCAGCCTCGTGCTTTAGAGCAGTACTCCAAGTAAAATTACCGGCTTTAGGGGATAAGAATGACAAGACCGAGGAAGACCCTCGCATAGGAGGATATCAGTCCAGTCGCTTGGTGTCCCTACAGCCTTCTCTGCACGTGCAGGCTCCCACTTGCTTTTTGACATTCATCGCGGCTTTACGATTAAAAAAATATATCTTTAAACGGAACTCAGTTTCTCATACTTGGTTTGACCTATATCTATACCGGACTTGTAAAATGCTCACTCGTCCGCGGTGATTACGTTTGGCGGATTTGGCGAGTGAAAAGAAAACAGCCTGGCTAATGAAAATCAGATGATCTGGCGAGTGGAAAAATAAAACAACAAAGAACCGTCAACAACCCCACTTCGAGCGAATTTCCGTCTGCTATTCTCCGCGTGCGAGTCCGCATCGCCCATCGTAATACCCAAGACCAGTGTTTCCCAAACGGTGTGCAGCGGCACATTGGTGTACCGCCTGTAAGGCTTAGGTGTATCGTAAGATTTGAGAGTTGACAAAAAAACTAAAGCTAAAAAAACTTAAAAACAAGAGGGAACGCCATCTCTCAGTGGAAAACGAGCTGAGAGTTGCACTATCACGCCTCGTATCAAACTGCTATGTTCAGCGAAGCAAGTACAAGTTTCCCATTGAAAGCAAGTAAATGGCTGGGTGCGCCGTGGAAAGTTCGTGTCCTTTTGTGTGCCGCAAATAAAAAAAAAGATTGGGAACCGCTGCCCTAGGCACACATTCGCATTGATGTATCTATGCAGGAACTGCGTTTTTGGTGATCAGGAGGGCGGGACGAGGAAAAATGTTGTCTGGCTGGTGGAAGTTCGGGAAAATTTTTCAGGGCTGTTCTAAGCCAACTTTCTTCATGCAGCTTTCGGTAGTTTCCACTGATTTTTGGAACAGAAAACTCCACCAAAATATGGACTTTACCAATGGTTCTGGCGAGAACGATAGAGGCGCTTAAACAATGCTTGTATATACCAGGTTACAGTACCACATCTGTCAAACTTGAAATTCATAGTTGAACTCTCGGTTTCGAAGAAATTTATATTAGAGCTGTACCGATGGTCACATTTGGCCGATGTGCCGATGGCTGATTATGATCTCATATTTATCGGACGGTGCCGGTGCCTATTGTGACGTGTGGAGAAACAGCGAAGAACCATTTTACGAAATTAAAAAAATTCGAATTAACCTATTAGAAAGCCACGTTCTATTGTATTAGGGCTGTCACGCTGAGTGCTTCGAAAAATCGAAGTTTCGATCTGAAATATCGATAGTGCATCGATGCACCCCGGGAGTGGGGGTTAGGGGTTACTGGTGGATTCCGTCTTATCTCGCCGCAATTGAGCGGAGGTTTGACTTCCGTCGTTTCTTGCTTTGACCGGAACGCAGACCTCTATACGTCTTCCATAATCTCTCGCCTGATTGGGGAGTACGGGTGAGAGGTATGACCCTCGCGATGGGTAATAAAACCTGCCTTGCCTCCAACTAGCGAAAATGACATCCATGGATCGATGGATGTATCGGGAAAACTTTAATTTTTTCCTGTTGTCGTTGAGGATCAAGTTACCAAGCTCCGTTCACGTGTTTTGTTTAATGATATTTTTCTTCGTTCTGCACGTTCTTCTTTGGACATCGGCGCCGGCAGCTTACAAACCTGCCGATAGCCGATGGTGCCTTACCGACGGCCGACAGCGGTGGTTGCCGATACATCGGTACAGCCCTAATTGAAATTTATACATTGGATTATTTCATCCACCCATCCATCAAAAGAGTGTAACCATTCTTTCCACAGGCCCATAACGGTGCGGTAAGAAAGAGATACAATAATAGAATGAGAAAATAGAGTCCTCCCAGAATGTATGTGAAAGGGCTTTCGAAGTTTACGCGTAACTCCCAACCACTCACCATCTTCGCCCACTTCATCATATTATGAGCCTGAAAGAGCCGCGCGACACCCCCGAAAACAATTCCTGGCTACGACCATGGCTGTAATATTAACCCTGTAACTGCTAGAAGCAGCACGGCGGCCTACGTTGATTTTACGTCGATTTTATCGACGGTTGGCAGTTCTAGGGTTAAGTGTGGGGAGGGGGGACTCGTCGCGAAGGCATTGTACATGCATAAGGTGACCAGATTTCTGTGTCGCGAAAGTGGAACGCCCAATAAATACTTCCCCTTGTCTCTCGAAAAAGAATATGAATGTATTTGTTGGACCGACAATTGTATTTATTATTGCCAAACATGAAATAGAACTGTTATTTAATTGTGCATCCACAGTAGCGCAACCAGCCCTAAAGAGGGAGTTTCGGGAAAGTTCGTATAACTTGTCTTTCAAATGTCTCCAGATGTAAGAAGGCGTTATCAATTCACCAGAAGAGAAAAATGCGAAACGACGTCGAACACGCGAACATAGAAAATGAAACGAAAAAAATTCCATGAAATGGTGGTAACAGAATTTAAACAATGAATAATACAAGCGCATTCGATATTTGAAACAAAGCTAAAGATGAACAGAGTTAATTTCGGGATTCAGCCCAGACTTTACTGCGCAGGCATGCAACTGGAAATTCGTTAACCTGTACGTTATTCGTGACTTTCATCCGAGTCGTGGTTCTTCCGTTTTCAGAGAAATATGTCAGCAGCATCACATGTGCAAAACGCTTCCGTGACATTTTCACTTTACTGCAGCAAGCAGGGATTTTTTACATTTTTGGCAAGGGGGAGGCCCGGCCTCCTCAAAAATTCTCAGGAGTCACTTTCCCATGCAATTTGAAAACATCTATTAAGATATCAAAGAAATCTCTGAGAACCATTAAATTCATTCTCAATCGACGCAAAACGAATCAAGTCCAGTCTCTGAAAATTGACTCCTGTCCGGAATCGCAGATGGAAAGCCAGAACCTGGAGGCTTCCTCTGACTCAGAGACAACTACGAGGTATAAGGGTATCACTTTGTTCATGCAATAGGAAAGTAAACGATGGCAGGGAGGCCGGCCTCGCCGTCTGCAGTGCGCACGAGCAGGTGCCTGCTAACAAGAACTAGCATGTTTTTAGGCACGTTAGCTGTTCGGTAATCCAAATTCCCATTGCCAATTTATATTTACGCAGTTGCCATAGATAAAAAAAACTCAAGATAGCATATCTTGAGTTTTTTTTATTATCCATAATGGTTTTTTTATATTCATAATCATGATATTCGCTTGGTTTAGCTCCTAAACAATATGTTTAGGAGAAGTTCTGAAACTCGCAAGGCTAGAAATTCAACCATCATTCTGTCATCGACATTTTCCTAAAGCGGGACATTTGGGCGTCCCGCTTACTTCATCGGGGGACACCGGGACATGTGGTCTGAAAGTGGGACTGTCCCGCCTAAATCGGGACGTCTGGTCACCTTATACATGCAGTACGCACATCACATGTATGTTATCAGTACTCAGGATAGGGTGAAGCATATCCCATGCTGTAGTCCGATTTCAATTTCTTCATTGTGTGCGCAGTGCACACGAGCATGTGCAGCCGAAACCATGACGTCATTGCCGTTGTCTGTTCTGCGATTTGTGACGCTTTGCTGTCGCGCAGCGTGTACCACGAGGACGAACATTTGCTCTCAGCTGTTCCTGAACTTTTTTTTTTTCTATTTATACATTGTGTACCAATTTTCTCAACTGCTCGCAAATCCTACCCCGCGCATATAAAGCCATGTTCCATGAGCTTAACTGTCCCATCAGATCCATAACCAAAGCATAGGACTAGGCCCATTGGGTCCCATTGGTGTTGCCATAAATCTGGTGTGTCGTGTTTTCAGGTGAGTGATGGAATCTGATTGCTGTGGTGACAGTTGTGATGATTCAGCCTTACTTGGGAGAGCTGATGGAATTCCTGCCAAACACGACCCTTCTCTTCCGAAATTAATTGGAATCAATGCTGTTGTGTTTGCTTTGGAACTGTGTGCCTCTTCTGGATTCTCCTACATCCCTCCTCTGCTCCTCAGGGCTGGTTGCTCTGAAACTTCTATGTCTATCATCATTGGCATAGGTAGGCCTAATCAATGGGCCCAGTCAAGTTTCTCAATCATAAAGCTTTGCCTCAGCCTGTATATGTAGTTGATTCAACCTTGGTTTATAGAATATCTGGGATTGTAAAGGCAAATGAAAATCATGATTTGCTTTTTTGTCCATTTGTATTATTTTCTTGAAATGGGTCTATGATAGGTCTGAGTTGTGTTAGAATATTATGTTTGAATATTCGCCATATCAGTTATGAACTGATTGAACCATGGTAACAATTCAGTAAAAAGTGATAGCTTATTTATAATTTATTTTTCTGAAACAAAACCCATGTGACACATTTTCAATGCCTTGCAGTACTTGTGACCCATGGCTATTCATATCCATGATATCTTTGCATGAAATTGATTTGAATATTCAAGGTCATGCACTCAAACACCTACAATCCTAGAGACTGGGATCTGCATGATTTCAATAGGGTAAGATAATGTAGTCAAGTAAAAATCAAGGAAGCATAGTTCCATCCAGTTCTTACTTACTTTGCTTTTATTTTTAAAATAGGAAATGGTTTGGGGACAAAGTCCCCTTCTGTGTGATGTAAAAGCGAGGAATAATAATGAAGATATAAAGTTCCATAAAAAATGTAGAAGTCAGGTAAGATTTCATAAAATACATAGGAGTATTGAAGAAAAATGGGGGGGAAAAAATTTGAAAATGCATTATTGAAAAAAATGAAAAGTAGAATAAAGAAGATAGGCCTAAAAATAGTGCACACAGCTAGAATTTATTATTATTGAAACCTTCTATTTCTCCTTGTTTTTTTCTTTACTTATAAGATCACTTCATAGAAGGGCCCAAAGCATGGCCTTTTTTACAAATATAAGTAACAGTTTGTTTTTTTTTTTTTTTTTTTTTGAGGGGGAGGGGGGGTATGATTCCTTGATTCTTACTTTTTAGTCCTTCCTTGAAAATGGCGAGTTTCTTAATTTCATTAAATACTCAATTCTCTGCAGAAATTCCAAGTGTTCTTTCAGTTACTTGCTTAGCCAGTATGTGAAGAATGACAATGGGAGGCCAAGCCAATGCAGACCATAATATCAATCTATCCATAATATGAGTGTTGAATGCAGGAGGAAGAGATAGAGGAAGAAGTCAATTCAAGTCTTGTGAATAGAGGTTGAAGTTGCTAGAGCAGCAGTACTCAAACTGAGGCCCGCAAAGACTGAATGTTCTTTGCAGTGAAAAGAAACCCACAATGAACATCATAACCCTGACTGAATTTTTAAATTCATACTATGAGGTTTTTTTAAAAAGTGCAGCCCACACAAGTTTGGTCATGTCCGTATAAGCCCCCTGGCTCAAAAAGTTTGAGTTCCACTGTACTAGAGGAACCTCCAGCCAGTTGTATACCTTTTTCATTTCCACTTGGTCTCTCAATTGTGTTGCTTATCAACATTTTCCTTTGAGTTGAATGTCATCTGCAGGTGAACGTCCAAGTTGCTCTAAGAAGTAGCAGTCAAGGTCTAGCATCTTGTTGTTTTCTTGTTGAAAAGGCTCCTTCAAGGCAGTTACGGAAATTCGCTTCCTTCACAGTTGTTTATGCATATATATTTTCTTACATTTTTCAATTTCTTTCTTGTGAATTACATAAATGTATCTTTTTTTTTTAAAAACATTATGCTTTATTACAACATTGGCATCTATATGTTCTCCATTTTTGCATTTTTGGATTCCTCTACGTCACTGATAGTGACTGAAAATTTGAAGGGTTCTAGCCTTCTTGTCACCTTGCTTTAAAGACAGATGCAAAGAAGAAGAAAGAAGGGATGAATGTGAAAAACAGAGAAATTTTTTTTTGTGTGTCAGCTTTAGAAATATAATATGAATTGTTAAAAAATTATATGATTATAAATTTCCTTTCCAAGTATAGTCGACTGCTCCATTCTGTTCCAATTCTGATGCCATGGATATTGTTGAAATTTGATATCCTATTTATTTAATCAATAATCAGGTTTTCTTAGGCAAGTGTGACAATAAGAAAGTCATATGTGTCTCTGAGCTGGATGGAAATGTCGAAAGCGACATAAGGAAAATCAAATGTGTTGCTGTGCTGGATGTAGGATTTTAGAGAATAGTATGTTTGATATGAGGAAAGTCAAATGCAGCATTCAAAACTTTCAACTGTGCCAGGAGAGAGCCACCCTCTCATTGCATTTCCATTATATATATGTATAAGAAATGTTATTTTTGCCCTGTTAGGGTGGTTTTAAAGTGAAGCAATTGGTGCTTGTTGCAGTTACATCCTGCAGCAACCAGGTTCAGTCTTGGCCCAACTGTCTTGGTGCTACAAAGTGTAATGAAATTATTTCCCCCCCACCATTTTAGGAAAAATTTAAATGGGTGAACCTTGGTTTCCATGTCTATTATGTCCTAGAACTTAGATGGGGAAATTAAAAAAATATGAGTGTTTGGTATGTTTTCTACCTGCTTGTATAAGAGCCTGAATTAATTTGATTTGTGAAAAGTTTTAGTTTAGCAAGTGCCAGTGACTTTTAAGGTTTAATCTGAATCCTGACATCTGATGTCAGTTATAGGAAGATCATTGACCCATATTCATGATGATATCCTTTTAGCTGCTATAGTAAGATGGCTCTGCACAATTGTGCACAATAATCATGTAAGAATTTGAACAGTAATGAGATGCTCATCTGATTCAAAATTGATCTGACCTTGATGTTCACCTTGAGGCAGATGGAAAAATATAGTCTTTTACCATATACCAGTGAGAGACTATTGTGACCAGTTTAATAAAATTCCAATTCATTTAATTTCTGTAATTACCTTATTTTCTGTAACACCTCATTAGCCTGACTCTCCCCCCTTGTGGTCTGTGTATACTCTTACTGGAGACATGCAGAAATGATTTTTTTCTACATTGTAGGTGACCATAGCATAAAAGCTCTTTATTGAAAATGCTTAAGTGAAAATCCTTATATACAGTCTTTGTGTTTCAGCTCCTGTCTTGGCATTGCTATCAGTTCCAGTCATAGGACAGTGGTCTGACAGATGTCAATCCCCAATGGGGAAACGCCGACCCTTCATATTGACCTTTTGCATTTTCCTGCTCATCTCCATGATATTCATCCCCTTGGGACATGAGAATGCCCTCAAATATGAATCACTTTCACAGGAAGGCCTGAGTCAACTGTGGTAAGCAATTGGGTTCTGATCTCATTGTATGGTGTTAACCTACTCCATTATGTCCTTTGAATGTACTTTTGTTACTCTCCATGCAGGAAAGTGATTCTGGGAACATCAGTAGTACTTCTTGATTATACGTCCCAAGTCTGCTTTAATCCATGTGAAGCACTCATGTCAGACTTCATGAAACGAGCTGGGAACCCTGGCCGGGGATTCCTTGTTTACTCTGCTATGTTGAGTCTTGGCTCATGCATTGGCTATCTTGTGTCATCAATCAACTGGAGGGGCTATTTTCCTTCTCTTCCAGTCACTCAGGAAGGGATGGCTTTCTATGTTCCTTTTGGATTATCTGTCATTTGTGTTATGCTGACTATGGTGACTGCTCAAGAGAAGACACAGAGCTCATGCATGCCATCCAGAAGAGAGAGCAGTGATGAAGATGCACTTTCTGTGATGTCCATGCCCATGAACAAGGTTGAAGAGAAGAACCTTGAGAATCCTCATCCCATGAGGAATGGTCAGGTGGCAATGCTAATTGCCAAAGATGATATAGACAAAGGCTATGAAAGTGGCAGCAGTATTGACTCATCACTTGAAGGCAGAAGCAGAACATCACCAAATTTCTTTAAATTATTCAGGGTGTCCTCTGTACGTTTCTCTGTGGAAAAGATTATAAGTGCATCGTCTTGCATCGCAGTTTGCATCATGCACCTCTGTGGATGTTTTGTGCTCTGCATTTGCAAGGTAATTAGAATGTGCAATCATTTTAATTCTGGATTGCAAAATGTACTATTTTGATGGCTTTATGTTTTTTTTTTTTAATCTACAGCTTCTTATGAAATTATTAGCCATTAAGTACTTGTAAAAAAAGTTCAAATAAATTTTTCAGCATTCATGGAAAAGGGAAGACCTGTTAATCAGGCTAGCTACCTGCTTTACAGAATCCTTTCTTGGTGAGTGAGACTTTTACCTTGAAGTGCAATCCAGAATGTTTGATGAATGTAGCATGTGTAGTTATGCAATTAGCACTGAAGCATATGTTGTTGCATTTAAAATTTTGTTTATTGCTTTTTTTAACATTTGCTTTGTTGAACTTAAATTTTGAGCCTAATTAGAGAATTTAGCATGTCTTAGGCCATATTGCCCTGGCTCCTTTGGTAGGAGTAATGATAAATTTCAATGACTAGTACTAGTTTATACAAGGGGGTAGGCCTTAAGAAATATTAGTGCAAGACAGGAAGACAAAGGTGTAAATTTTAATTAACCCTACAATGCATGATTTTTTTAAATGTACCAAATACATTTTTGACTATCATATTTTTTCATGTTGATGAGAAAATTGAGGGGAAAAATTCTCCTTTCATTTTGGTTTTTCCATTGTACTATAATGCATTTCAATGCAAAGCAGAGCTTGCCATATCTAGCACACCATGCAGTGTAGGATTAAACATATTGTCTTCTATTTTCAAAATTGCTTTTTTCAAATCAGTGTTTGCTTTTGTACATGAGCATGTGCATGGGTTTAAAATGAAGTAGAGGATGCTAGGAACACATCTGTAACTGTTTTTGGTTATCACTTGGTTCATTTGTCAACCTGTGAAAAATGCCTATATACCCTTCTGAGAGAAATTTATTTCTCACATGTAGCCTTCTCAGAGTACAGTGAGGGTCAACATATTTTTTGGAAACCTACTTCCCACTGCCCTTGAAGGGGTTAAAAGGCATCAACAGGAATGAAAGTTCCTCCTTGCTATTCAAGTTTATCATGTGAAGAGGGAAATAGAGATGATTTTTTCCTGGGTAAAAATAAACTTTTCTGGAACATCGCATCTTCTGGAATTATATAAGTAATCACAATACCAATACTGTGGTTGCCTAGACTTCATGTATATGATTAAAATTTTGATAATACTTCAAATACTTCAAATGTGTGTACAATAAATAAAATCATCCTTAATTATATTGTAGCTTCAGTTACCTTTTTGTCACACCCTGTATGATATATAGACCATAGTACTTTTTGGAAAGAGCATAATAATAGAGGAAAGTAAAAATTCTGCATTTGGGGCCAAATTGAAACAGTAGTAGTGTATCTGTTCCTAGAATGATGACAGTGTTGCTACTAAGATGTTAATTGCATGCAGGTTGTGGTATGACTTAATTAATAGGTTTTATTGTTGATGTGTTATGAGCAGGATCAGCAGCACAGTACAAGCTCTACTGCAGATCTTACTCTGGTAGGACTGGTTGTGATTCAAGTCAACAAAATAGAACTATGTTATTTTATTTTCAGCATTCAGTTAGCAATCTTGTCTCTGCGATATCTTCTTTGCACGGCTGTCTACTTCATAGTAAATTAAGGATCTGCAGTCATTGTGTCTTTAATGGTTTCTGGGATTCCCATTTAGGTGCTATATGGGCCAGTGAAGACATTGTACACAGTATGGTCATGTCCTTTGGTCCTGTGGCGGTTATTCCTTGCTGATCTGCTCTGCTGGACGGCCATCATGTGCCATTTCATTTTCTACACTGATTTCATGGGTCAGACTGTATACAAAGGAGATCCAGATGCTACACCAGGCTCCATACTTGCAGAAAAGTATGATGAAGGGGTTCGGATGGGATCTTGGGGTTTATTCCTTCACTGTCTCTTTGGTATGTACTTTTCATGTTCTGCAGACCCATGCAATTATGAAATCTTCATTATTCATTGATTCATCCTTGAAATCTTCCCTCTTTGTTCCTCACTTGCCATCCTCTTTTCCCTCCTTATCCCATGGCACCTGTAGCATTCTTCTATGCAGGTTTCATCCAAAAAAGTGTGATTTCCCTGATTGGTCTTCGGAGCACATATCTCTTGGGGATGTGCATTTTCTCATTGTCAATGGTGCTGACTATGTTTGTCACAGACAATGTTTTCCTCATCAACGTTTTGGCAGCCATCTCTGGTGTGGGCTATTCTGCTGTCACTACAGTTCCTAATTCCTTGCTCACCATGTATCATGCCAAAAAAGAGGTTAGTCAGTCCTCTTTGTTTGGAATATTTGATATTTGTGTAAATTTCACTCTCATACCTGAGTTTAATGGCATCTTAATCTTGCCAACGAAGTGCATGGAGCATGGAATGAACATAATTTTCTTGTCTTCCTTAAATTAGTTTCAAGTTATGCATTCTTCAGATAGGTAATGATTTTCTTTTCCCCTAGATCTATCTGTCAGACACAAAGATGGTTCAAGGGAAGTCTGGGAAGAGAAGAGGTGTGGCAACTGATTTAGCAGTTCTGGATTCAGCCTTCTACCTATCTCAGATCATCCTCTCACTCTCTGTGGGCTACCTGGTTGATCTTTTCCATAGTTGCATCCTCTACATGATTGTGTCAGCTGGTGCTGGTTTCATCGGTATCATCCTTGCATCTCGTCTAATCTTTTCTCCTGTTCAACTGGAACAGGTACTTAGCCATTCTTGTTGAACCCAGTTGCTACACAACTTATCTACAAATTCTTTTGTATTACTTCTGATTCCTAGTATGCTTTTAATTTTCTGTCTCTGATCGACAAAGTTGTAGTACCCTAGCTTTAAGTTCACCTGTAGAGCTTGAGAATTAGAGCAAAAGGTAGGGGCGGATGTGATTGAGTTGTGATTTGAATGGATGGATATTTGAGAGATTTGTGAAGCATCAGCAATTGAGTGCAATGATTACTTCAGATCTAGTCTGTGATTGAATGGGATCATCCCAGTGTCTTTTTCACAAATGAGAACCAAATTTATCCATCCTTATTACCTGTTGCCCAAATGTACTTCATTTGAATGGTTTTTATTCAAATGTTCATTTTGAAGGGTTTTTTTTTGTTGAACCAGGTGTATATTTATTCTGAAAATCTCCTTTGTGGTATTGTGGAGATGTAGTTTCATATTTTAAGTTTAGGTGCACCTCCATGACTTGAAACCCATTAGAGTCTGAATTATTTTTGTCACATGATCCCCAAAATGTAGGTCAGCTTTAGCTGCCAAATCATGCAAATCAAGATTTATTTACTTGATACGTTTATGCAATACCTCACTCCCTCCTCAATGCTACCACATTTCAATTAATCCCTAGTATTAAATTATTCCAAATTATTTAATGTAATCATTATAAAGGCATTAATTGGAATGGATATTTGTGTATGTCAAATACATATTTCTGTATTATATATACACATAAAAATATATAAATCTGAGAAATAATATTCTATGACTCACCAACACTTGTGACTATTCATGAAGATAATTAATTCAAAAACTTATGTTTCAGTATTCAGTTCAAGTTGAAGAAATTGCTTGATCCATATTTGGGGATCATGGGACATTATTTGTCTTTGACTGTATGCAGGCTCTTTTCTTATGCTTGGTCATCCAACATCTCATTTATGAATATCTCCCTAATTTAACCCCCTGGATTAGAGCATAACGCTTCTTACTCAGGAGAGTGTAAAGTACTTGGATGGTCTATTGTCTGAGTTATATAAGGTATGCAGTATAATTCATAGATTTCCATGAAAGCCTCCCTTCTAATCTTAAGAATAAGTGAGGTGTTGGCATTCAGTCCTGTGACCGGTCTTTTCTTGTGGGAACTTTTAAAGGCAGAAGATTTTCAAGTTTTTGGCCAGGCTAGAAGTTCAATCAATAGAGTTCAGTTCAGCAGAAAATATGAAATGCATATGGAATATGGAAAGTTTAAGATTGTTTAGTCTGAAGAGAGAAGTGCACCTCCATGGGATTCCTGCTGGGGATGCAGGAATAGGTGAACAATCTCACAATTCCTTCAGCCATCAAGTTGCAGGGGAATCCTCATGTTCCTCAAGTATTTGTGGACTGAAAGATATATTTTGCTTTTGTAAAACATAGCAGTTCCTATGTAATGCAGATGTGTGGCAATCATTGGTGAGCCAATAAGATCAATCCTGCTTTTCTCTGTAATATTGGTGCACCATTAATTCCATGATAAAATGTCCTCCAACTTTGATGAATCTGCTCTCCCTGCCTACCCACACATTGGATGTTGTTTTCAAACTACCCCTCAGACCTAATGCATTGTTACCTTCACCATTCAGAGGACAATATTTATTTTGTACCCATAATTATGTACAGTCAACCCTTGATATACCACCTCTCTCATTTACTGCCAACTCCTTCCTGAGAACAAATCTTCCCATAGACTTACCATAGGCACTCTCCTGTTGTAGCACCACCCTCACTAACCACCATCCACCAACATCTTACTTGCTCAAATGTGTCTTATTCTATGTAAGTCTTACTCAATATTATGCTAAGCAGCATGCTTCATCAGCCACAGTTATTATACCTTGGACAAAATGTAATGCTACCAGTTGCTCCTTTCTGTCAAATGATAAATATCAAGATTGTAAGGGATGACTTAGCATTAGAATAGGCCTTCCGAGATTAGAGAGGAGCATATAGGATTGCCTAATCCAGCCTAATCCTGTATCTTATTTTGAAGTATGTAAATGTCTCATTAAGATTATATACAGGTTCTTCAGATGAAAGTTCAAGTTAGTTCACTATCTAGTGTTGGGGAAAAGGATGGTTTTAAGTGTGAAGGAAAAATTGGAAGTGTGTGGTTAGAAGAAGGCGAATATGGTTGAAAGTCAGCAAAACTTTGCAAACAATTTTGCAGTGTTTTGGGACAATAATGTGAGCAGAGGGTGCAATTTAGTTATACTAATTAAAAATAAGAAGTAATTGGATTTAATATAATGGATGAAATAGATAGAATCATTTTTCAAAGCCATGTAGTTGGTGTATTCTAAGGCACAGACCATTGGCAGTGTGGATTAAAGTGAAATTTTGCTGCATATTTTTTATAAATTAGGAAAAAATACTCCATTTTAACCAAAACCAGGCATTTTGTTTTAGTGCCGCCCTCGATATAGTGCTGAAATCAGCCAAGACCAATGGTGGTATATCAAGAGTTGACTGTACTTCATTATAGTCTATTAAATATGACTGTATAGTCAATTTGTACCCATAATATTAATCTTGTATTCTGGACAATCATGTCCATTCAGAGCATGCATGTTCTTTTTGATTGGATGCAACCACATTAGTGCAGATGTTAGCGATCTCAAACATGCAGCTGTGAAAGAAAAGCTGCTCTCATTTCTAATGGTGATAGCCTGGCACTCTGTGACTAGACTCCAGGATGGTGTTGAAATAAGTGTGTGTCTGGGTTTAATGAGAAAATTATTTTGTTCCATCTTTAATTCATTAGAGTTTTTCCATTTGGATTATATCATGTGATAGTTGGGAATATAAACTCTTACATGATTGTATAGTTGAAAAAGCAATGGTTCTAATTCTATGATCCATGCAATATGACATTATGTCAGGAAACAGTGTAATGAGACTCCAGGCCCTGAGATGACCTTGTTCTTTCTCATATACAATCCCAAGAATCTCAAAATCTTTGAGCTGGAAATGAAACAAAAAATTTTGATACTGTTGTAAAAATAAAATTTTGAGGACCTACCACTGATGGGATTTTTTATTATTTTTTCTTTTCTTGTAGTACTATTACAAGGACATACTGTCAGCCGTGTGGTAAGAATCTCATGCTGGAAAAAGTTTTTTTTTTCATCAAACATATTTGACTGCCAAGAGCAAAAGTAGAAAAGGAAAATATTCAGGAAATGACTATCAATAAGTTATGAGAAGGAAATCTGCCTGCATTAACACTTTCTCTAAAAAGAGGGGGTAAGAAACCAGTTGACTGCATCCATTAGTCTCACCAATTTTTTTAGATATTGGACTATACACATAGGATGCATCTGATCTCACTTGTGAGATGATTCCTTCACCTGGAATGAAAAACCCTCTACCCCCTTTGTTTTCCTTGTGGTTGCACAGCCATTAAAGTACCTTTGTTTCCCTCTCACTCCTTCATATTGTTAAATTGTTAATCTACCTTTCGAGTTGGACCTGTCAGTGTTGGAATCACTTATTGGGAAAGGTGATAAGACTCATCTAATTTTGGCAGCTTTTGCACATAGTATATTCTGTGTGATGGTTTGTTATAGTATTTCAAGTTATGGTGATGTTTTTCCTCTTTCAGTTTCTATATGACAGTAGCCTTATGTTTTCCTTTTATCATAACCCAAAGAAGTTCCTTTTCTTTTAATAGGAGTTTTCACAATTCTGCTTTCGAAAGGTGGTTCAATGTTCACTTAGTGAGTCTCCTTCTGTCTTGTTCATATTCAGAGGTGATCTCAGTAAGTGGGACATGGTGGCAATCAAGTTGAGAAAGCATAATTTGCTTTCTCCAGCAAACAAGGTATATGCATTCAGGGTACACCAAAGACTTGATCCAATGCCTAGAATTCGCTCAATGTTCAAAACGTGAGAATTTAATTCATAAATTGGGTCAAAAGAGTTTATACTCGTGCCAAAGAAGTGGAAGCTTGTCTTCTAGTCGGCTTGAACAATAAATTTTCTCATCTGTTGACCACCGAGGGAAAGTCTTATTTATTTAGCGTGGCTTGCTATTAAAAAATTTGTATTCACTGACCATTGAAACTGCTCCTGGGTCATTTCATTTGTTTCACCAATTTTATGAACATGTGAAAATTGATGTTTGAAAATTTGTTTATGGGTAATAGTGATGTCTCCATCAAGTGCTGCCCGAAATGAGGAGAGTTGATTGTCTCGAGTTGTTTGTTTTCTTGTACTCCCATTATTAACAGAAGTTTCTCTGAGTGGTATTGATGTCATTGTTAGCTGATCCTTAGTTAAATTGACTGTAAACGGAACACATATATTATTATATCTGTACTAAAGCATATCCATTAGAATTTGCTGTGTTGTCATCAATATATGCATAAGTCTTTAATTATTTTGTCAACTTACTTGTGGAAGAACTATAAAAGAGCTCAGCCATTTGAATTTTGACCTCTGCTTGTCCAGTAAAGCCCTGCATTCACATTTTTGCAAATGGATATTTTGGATGGGTTTTTAATGAATTATCAGGGGGCAATATCCTTTTGAAGGTGATCAGTGATGGCACTACTAGGTCCTATGGAAGATGCTTCAGTTTTGGGTTTGCCAATGCCATAAGGGAATGAACCCCTCTGTTTGCTTCATGTCACATCTTCAAAGAGTTTGCAAAGCATGCTCACCATGTTTAAAGGTGTCTGCTATATGAGGGCGAATTTCATCTGAAAAGAAAGCATAACTTTAGAGTTATATCAGTGTGCATTTTGCATACAGTTTTCCCCCATTTTGTAGCATCAAGTTGCGGATTTTTTTTTTTAAGTCATGAAAAGAAGACAGCTAACATAGCAGGGTGCCAGGAAGAGCTACAAATTTAAGCCTCATACTTTCAAACATAAATCCAGGTTGGATGATACATGTCCTGAGGTTTAGAGATATTTCAATCTGTAGAACTCTGGTTCCAATCTCTCTGCCCGTGCTCCTCCTGGTCCTCCTCCTTACCTGACCTTGTTCCATTATGCTACAGAGCCTCACTTTTCTTTTACATTTTGGATCTCACATTTGGGATACATGAAGGCCGAGAATCGAGATCGGGACTCAGTTGGAGAGGTCTGCTTCCATGGTTTTTGATAGCATTAAATTTCCGCATTAACGAAAGCCTAAAATGAAGATAGCATTTCTTCTATTCCTCCCCTTGCAGGTTTCTGCTTCTGATGTTTCAGTAAGCTGAAGGTAGAAATATATTTATTACTTGTGGCTGTCTTGTCAGAGATGACTACGATGTACTTGGAGGGGAAATACTGGGAACCAAAATGTTGGGTAAAACGTTTGTTTCTCTTGCAGACCCCCACTATAATTGTTTCACTTTTGATCATGACCTTTAAAGATGCTACGCTATGTGGCACGCTGGTGTTTTTGTTTGCCATCTGTATGGTGCCAAAACTGCCCTATCGAATATACAGGGTGAATCAAAAATCCTGTCCCATCGAAAAACATGTATAACTTCAAACAAAATGCAAAATATATTCAATCTTTCTAATCACAAGTAACAACAACAACCTACCGAACACATCACATCAATAGATCTCAATATGACCACCCTTGACCTGAATGACAAGCTTCAGACGGTTCATAAAGTCATCGACCGATTTTCGAAAGGTGTCTTGAGGGTTTCGCTTCCACTCCCGCCACAGGGCTAGTTTCAATGAATCCAAACTACGGTGACGAGTCACATTCACTTTACTCTCCAAATTGCCCCAGATGCTGAAGTCTAAGGGATTCACATCGGGGGAACATGGTGGCCATTCCGCAGGACTGATGAATCCCGGAACGTTGTTCTGCAGGCACTGCTGGGTCGTCTTCGCCTTGTGAAAATCGGTTGATGACTTTATGAACCGTCTGAAACTTGTCATTCAGGCCAAGGGTGGTCATATTGAGATCTATTGATGATATGTGTTCGTTAGGTTGTTGTTGTTACTTGTGATTAGAAAGATTGAATATATTTTGCATTTTGGCGAAGTTATACGTGTTTGTCGATGGGACAGGACTTTTGACTCACCCTGTATATACGTGGAGAATAAATACAAATGGAATTGAAAGGGTCATAAGAGATCTATTGCAGATGGTTTTCTTGTTTGTTCATCCAAAGATGTGCATTTCTGATAATGTGCCTTGACAGAGATCCATGGAGTTGAATAAAGGATAATAACCATAGTGTTTTTCCCTCGTGGGAACATGTGTATTCCTTTTACTTTCATGTCTGCATAGACCTTTCGAATGGGTACTAGTTTTTGCATTGGCATTTTGGTTGTTTTTCAGCCTATGTTACACTGAACATTCTTTTTTATATCTCAGCATGGAGTCACAATTTAATTGATTCTTAGGGGAAATGCCGAATGCTGAATGCAGTTTCACTGATATCACAGATGCGCTGCATTGCAACCTATGTATAGATCCTTTCATATAGATTAATACATAGAAGAGAGTATTAGAGTATTGATACAGGACTGCGGTCTGAATCTGGGACACATGAAATCGTAAATACAGAAGGAAAAATGACTTTATGAGAAGCAGAGGAGCCGAGAAAGGACGAGGATGAGGGATGAGGTAAAAACGACGAACAGAGGCCTGGTATCGGGAGAATTATTGCAAAAGTCGCTGTCGTCACAAATGCAGACTTCTCGTGTGAATGTCCCCACGTTTTGGGTATGGCATCCTGGTCCAAGGGCTTGTGTCGTCGGGTTCGTCTGTTGAGCCCTCCCACAAAACTTTGTCATAGCGGTTTTCGAACCTATCAAATACAAGAGCATAAGGATCAAGCATTACATTAGTGTGATGTAACCAGTCACCCGGGCATGTTTGGAATGGGATACTTATTACTTTCACGCCTTCTTCACTCTAAGCGCATGACTTTTTCACCTTCGAATAAAAAATACAGGTTCGATAATGAAATACCGTGTTGACATAAGTGCCTCCGAAATGTATTAAAGTCTGTGCAAGTACTTGGAACCACCCATAAGTCTATAGCACACTTATGGCCTTCTGGTAATTAGGCTTACTAGGGAGCCGAGTTTTATGCGCTAAAAAGTCCTAAAATATGCGCTTAAATGCCAAAATAAACATGAAATATGCTTGAAAGCGAAAGAACATGCAAAATATGCATCTTATTACCCAGAATGAATTCTTGGGAAGAAGGAACCACAATGTACAATTCATATTGCCAAGTTTCCCCCTTCCTCCACAATTGAGTAAGGGGAAGCCTGTAGATAACATCAGGTGCCTGCTGGGCATAGTGGGTCTCGTATTGCCACAGCACATGACTGCTAGAAAATGTTCGTTGTTGCTCACAAGTAAAACAAGTTTTCCTGGAAACCGTTATTTTTTCCACGGAAAATGAGCGAAATATCTGTCAATGTGCACATATATGCGTATACGAGGTCTGACAATAAAATAACGAGACTGGCAACACTGGGTTAGTGGCGATTGCTGTAACCTGTCACTGCATGTCTTAAGTCTGTGCAGTAACTAACTTGTCATGATACTTGTAGTGATTGCAGAGCAGTACCACTTAACCTAAAGTACTGTTAGGGGCACTCGTCAAAAAAATCTAACTCGACGAAAAACCAACTGGTTAAGACGATGTTGTTCTGTTTCTTCGACTGCAAAGGGATAGTGCATGGTGAGTTTGTTCCTGCTGGTGAAACTGTCAACCAGCTGTTTTATCTGGAAATTTTGAAACGTCTAAGAAAGTGGGTTCGTCGTGTGAGGCCGGAATTTTCCCCGATAAGTGGTTTTTGCACCACGATAGCGCACCTTCACACACAGCACTCTCCGTTTAGGAGTTTTTGGCAAAAAAATCAATTATAGTATTTGAACACCCCCCTTATTCACCGGATCTCGCTCCGTGTGACTTTTTCTTTTTCCCTAATGTGAATAAACACATCAAGGGAACGCATTTTGAAACCGTGGAAGAGATTCAGAAGGTTACGACGGGCGTTCTAAACATCTTGCAGGAGATTGACTTCCAGAAGTGCTTCGACAATTGGAAAAAATGCTGGAATTCGTGTATAGCTGCAAGAGGGAACTACTTTGAAGGAGACCACCACAGTTTACAATAATGTAAAATATATAGCTATTAAAAAATACAGTCTCGTTATTTTATTGTCAGGCCTCGTATATGCATATTCTGAAACCAAAATATGGATTTTTATGTGTTTTAAAGTGGCATTAGTCGCTTCCTCCAATAATACATTCTCCTATCTGGGTTGCATGCTCCTATGAGGCAGCAGAAAGTATGCATTTGTCATTTTAAAAAATCCGCTCCCTTGTATTACATGACAAGAGACTATGAAGATTCTCTCATGGATTTCCCCGAAAATGCAGCCCGTATCCAAGAAATTGCCAATGTGTATTGTGTCGACTATAGCATGTACAGGTATATGCGAAAAAGGTCCAAGAGGTTTTTTCTCTTTCTCCTCCCTCCCTCCTCGGCCTTCTCAAAGGAGTAGCTCCATTTCAAACCCAAACGTCACGAAAATTAGGGCAGCGAAAGTATTTGGACATTGCACGCACACTCGATGCTTCAACATCCTATTTCAGTGGTTCCCAAACTTTTTGAGGCGAGGGCCGCATGGACACTTTGGTCCACTTTGAGTGGGCTGCATTGAAAAAGAGCCAACATTTCTGCATGGTTAACCCTTCATCTGGCCATTGATCTCGTTGTCAAGCTACTCTAAACCGGGAAGTCCCATTTAAAAAATTAACAGCAATCGAAAACTGCTTATTCCTACCACATCCACTCACACTTCCACCTCTCTTAACGAAAACTGCTACTACTTGGAGTCGGGGCTCATGTACGTGTAAACGCATCGATTCTAGGTGCTGTTTTGTTACAAGTTGTATTTTCGATAAATACTTCTTTCTTTAACCTTAACTTCATTCTTTTGCGAGAAAATGCATTTTTTTCTCTGCAGTATATGGAGGTTCCGAATGTTAGGCATTTAGGAGGTGCACGCCAAAATACATAAGCAGCTAAATGTAAACAGGTATTATATGTACCTAAATATCTAAGCAACGACTAAATTTGTTAGTTTTCAGCGAAGGATTCAAAATCTTGGAATGAAAAAATTGTTAATCGCTATTATTCATCAATGCTGATAAAACGGTAAAGTGTGAAAAAGTCAATTATTAGTAAGTCATAGTGGGCCGCACTTTGAATACCACTGTCCTATTTCAACGACACGTGACTTCTCGAAAGTCCATTAAGCAAGGGTGCCTTAAGTACAAATCTCGAAGAACCGAAAACTTGCTTCATTTATAAATGCAAAATAGTATAAGTGTCCAATGTGATCTTGGGTCCCTTCCCTAATTCTAGAGCCAAGGATGGGAAGAGGAAGAAAATAAACGGTAAGGGTAAGAGATTGAAAGAAGCACCAGAATCGAGAGGGAAAGTGCATTATGACCTATTCATCTGTGGAAGGATGTGATGAGTGATTACATACCTTCTTCCTGTCACACCCTCACACGCCTTTTCACGAAACGGATTAAATAAGCTTCATAATGTACCATTAATAATCTCTCTCTCCCTCTCTTTCTTCCCCTTGTCTTTCGGGAGGGGTCATCACACTGCTGAATGAGGAAGAAGCACTTTCTTTCCCTCTTCTCTTGACCGGGGCGTTAATTGAAACCCCTGTGAAAGTCCGCTACCCCTTTTTCTTTTCTCTGGGAGATAATGAGGGAAGGAAGGAAGGAACTGACCGCTTGTGTCATAGTGAGTCCAACTGATGCACATTTGCCCCGTCACCAGAGCGCAATTCGTATCATCTGTGAGGGTACCGGACAAAAGCATGTTCTTCATAGCATCTATATCCGGCTCCGTTCCATTGACTAAAAAAAAAATTGAAATGTGGGAAGCCTGAATATCAAGCAAGAGAATAAAATGAAAAAGTAGAACTGGATTGATAATGATGGAAGAGAGATACTGATAAAGACGAGGGGTTCGACGCAAGGATGCTCGACCAGACCGATGATGGTTGTATCGTCATCTTCCGCCCTTCCACTTCCGCTTTTGCTTCCGTCGCTGCCCCCATCTCCCTCTGACCCACCACCACCACTGTTTTCCTCTGTCCCTATGTCCGCGGGATTACACTTGGCCGTCCCGTTCAGAGTGTTCAGATTGTACTGACCCGGCCAAGTAAACTGCCAACACCGGCTCGCCAAACCATCGCTCTCTGTCAAAGACACAGAACAAGCCACTCTTTTCATTTCAGTCGGGAGACGGGACTCTGATTCAAGCATTATTGAACGCAGAAATGAAACTATATCCAAGCGTTTCCCGGAAATCCTAGTTCTGTAATATTTCATGAACACGAAGATGGGAAGGAACCTTACCGTGAACGGCGACGAAGACCAGAAGAAGCAAAAGAGGGGAGATCCTAATGATCTTGCTCATGATCAGAGGGATTATGGTCCTGAAATGAATCTCCTATCCCCTTGACGACGATGACACATGAGAAACTGGATTGCGTATATCCTCTTCCGACGTCAAACGTTGAGTCCAGCTATCAAAGATACTTCTTATCTCTACCTTCGTAACACTCATCTTCCTTATCGCAAATATTTCTCGCACATTGAAAGTATAGTCCTTTTCAACTGATGACTAACGATGTCAGGAGATTTTAGGTCCATATTGAAGACAGTCTACGGCATGGTTTTTTTTGTACATAATTATTACTGGGGGAGAGGTTGGCGTTCTACAATAATGTATTGAGAATCATAACGTACATTTATGGGCTACACGGTTAGTGATATACGTGATGTGGATAACGTGACCACTGGAGAGATGAAAATGTATTTTTTCGTGGTCACGCCGATCAATCCTGTCCTTGAAGTCAGCCATATCCTGTTTGTGTACACTTCAAGCACGGGAAAGAAACCGTCAATAGTGCACTGAGAGGAGGGAAGAAACGATTCCTAATAGGGGAGAAAGCTGGAAAATAAACTTTCCCATAAATTCAATGGGTGATTTTTTATACTTTTCTTGCTGCGAGTAATGAGGCTCTTCTTCCAAACCAACTTCGAGAAAAAATTTTCGTCGTGATTGGAATTCAGAGACGCTTCCGGGGAGCATGAATCGTCGAAGTGAAGGCGATGTTATGAATGGATGTGAAAGTGAGAAGAATGAATATTTTGTCTTTACTTTTCCCATCTGCACCTACTGTAATCTCGTGCGGACGGAGAATGCCGATAATGGAGAGTCAAGGGAGGACTTGATGTTCTTCGTGACTCACGTCTGCATTTCTTTTCCATCCGATCGACTCGTCGGTGTCGAGTCGACCCTGTTCCTGTGACTCTGGGGTCACCGTTATCTCATAATCTTTTCTTCTCGATCACTTCGTGAAGGGTACAAACTCGACCTTCGTGGGAGGAGTGATGTGATACGAATGACCATGAGAAGAAAAAATCCCCTCCAACCTTCAGAGAAAAAAAATTTGGAGATTCGGATAAACGATTTATGTGTGGCCCTCGAGTGGACGATGAGGCATTGCTTTTGCTCCGGGATATCTTGGATTTGTTGCCGACCATCCGTTGAATTGGAATTGAAATAAGAAAGGCCAGATTTCTCAAGGTCTTAATGTGGTTCCTTCTAATTCAAGTCTCTCTCATTGAGATATGGGAGGGGTTTCGGACGACTACCTTCAAGCCATCATGCTCAAAAGACGACTCCCGCAACTTTATTTAATCCCATATCTCCGCCTCTTCCTCCGGCATATCAATGATGGTGAATTTTTACTTACCTCGTAGCGCCGAACATTCCTTTTATTTGACCAATGCGTATATTTGACAGCAGAAAATAATACAGGAATGAATTACTTTTGCCGAAGAGGCCAGAGAGCTCTGATGCATGGGAGATGGATGATTCATTAGCACAGGGAGAGAACTGTGCCAGGAGGTTTTTTTTTTTTTTTATCTCATCGAGGTGCGGGTCTTCCATTATGATAATCATCCAAAAGTGTTTCTCCCCATACTATCTCAGCTGGAAGTAGGAAGAGGTCAGGGTCGGGCTGTGTTCATAACGGGTCGAATGATGACTCCCGTCGTCTTCGCACGTTACGTCACCGTCATCTGTGTACGCCTCCTTCTACTTTAACGACTACGTTCCCCAAAGGATTCATTAAGGATCATGGCAGACATTAGCCATAGGTGCAGCTTTTTCCCATGCCGTCGATTCGAACTCAAGGACAGGCGCTGTGTGTCTCAACCCGATTCTGCATTTGTGTCATGCGTCGCGAAGTGGGGCTGAAATACTGTAGGAATTCGGTCTCGAACGGAAGGGATCTCGGAGTGGCGATCGTGCAAGGAAATGCTGGCGGGAAAGCGGTTCTTTCCAGCCGAATGCATTGCGAAGGACGTCGGATCCTCACGCCCTGTTCACGCCCTCAAGCCTCCTTCCTTCTTTCCTTACCTGCTTCGCAATTGTCATCCATGTTGAACACGGAGGGGGCGAAAAATTGTACCGATACTCTCGTTATAATAGCGGAAAATCCCAAACACGAACTTCCGGGTCCTCCCATCCAGGTCTGTTGGTGGACCATGAAGTTCACCAGAATCTCCACGATTTCAAGGCTTCCAACGGAAACAAGTCGACCGCGGTCGCTCACGCGACTGCAAATAGCAGCTGTGTTCGGTGCAGTAAGGGGGAAAGAAATTACATGGTCCGTCAAAAGTCGTGAAGGGATTTTATTATTTTATCAAATTGAAACCCTTTTGATATAAGTTTTTTGTTGTTGTTTCAGATTGAAGTGTGAACTCTTAAGATTCACACAATGGACAAGGGGACGATGCAGCAACGCTCAGCTATTGTTGAGCTCTACGGGGTGTATGATAAGTAACTCCCTATTTTAAAATGCTTGTAACTCTTTTATTTTTTTTTACGAAATTTAATGAAACAAACTGTGAATTATGCACCAGTTAGTGAGGATTTTATTCGTCTAATCTTCACACTTCCACGTATGCTCCTGCATTGTCAACACATTTCCTTAAGCGAACAAGTATGTTTCCCACAGCTGATCGTAACATGTGTCAAAGTACGTTATGAAGAGCATTCTTGATTCTTGCTTCAAGTTCATTAAGATTTCATTCAGTTCACTAAGAACGAGTGCCTGCACGAACCGATTCACCAGAATTTCTGTAAACATTACGTTCAATTTTTAATGTTTTCAGGTGTTCGCGAGGTTGATGGTCGTCATGATTTGGTTTTGTCTGTTACAGAACCGGTTGTCATTAACTTCGGATGACATTTATTTATTTATTGTCTTAGCATCCAGTGTCGCATGAGGACCATTTCCAACCCTCCACCATCGCTGAACTTTAATTATTGATCCCCAAACCTCGTAACAGGCAGCTATTATGGCCCTTTGTTAAACTGTTAGTCTGTAAGCCATTCTTTAACCTGAAACAAAAACACTAACGAAAATTTAAAAAACCTCACTAATAGGTGCATAATTCACAGTTTGTTTAATTAAATTTCGTTAAAAATGAAAGAGTTACAAGCATTTCAAAATAGGGAGTTACTTATCACACACCCTGTATTTCATAATTGCAGTTTGAACGGCTTACCGAGCGCAATTTGACGCCGTCATGGAGACATAAACTGGTCTGCGAGATTCTCCGATATTTCTGTTGTAGACTTCTTCTTGTGGGGGTTCTTAAAAGAAAGAGTTTACGTTAACGAACCGTGGCCAATACATCATCTGAAGAACAACATATGGGAAGAAGTACGCTACATCACTCGAGACACTTCGAGGAGTGTAATGGAAAGTGTTGTTCTAAGAGCACGTCAATGTATGACGGCTGCTGGTGGACATTTAAATTACATTTTTTCTTAAATAGACTTGATGAAGTCTCATTTAGTTACTGATACTGAAAATATGTAACAATTTTTTCACAATAAAATTTGTTTTGTGATATTTCAGATTAAAAATCCTTTACGACATTTGTCGGACCCTGTACTTCGAGATCGTAGCATATCCCGGCGACGATCGGGTACGAAAGTTCTAGTGGCTTGTAACCCCTCTTCTTAGCACGTTGTTTTCTTCTCGAACCTTGAGGTGTGACTTCTCTGGCGCGCACAGCCGAAGGTTTACGGTGTTGCAAACGGTAGTAAAGTAAGCACTCTTAACGGAGAATGCTTTCTCGAAAAGAGGGAGCATCGCCAAAGAACGCAGAAATTTCTGTCCTCCGTACAAAGTCGCCATGCGATTTGTGCTCTCTCGACGGGCAGCGAATGAGACGTGAAAACCTCGCAACGTCGGGAGATTTCTCGTCGGTCACAGCCTTAGGACAGTCGATTCTCGATGTCGTCGACTCGGTGAAGTTATGATCATGGCCGAAGGAGTGCAATGAGGTTAATCTTCGTCGTGACTAAGTCGTGCGGCAAACGAATTTCGGACTTAGTGGACTTAGCGAACTCGATCGACTGATTCTGGAATGAGTTATCGTTTCGATCATGCGTAAGACATGGTCCCGATCTGCACCGTGCACCCAGACTCACTCGACCCGGTCGATTCTCTGCGGGAAATTTTCGCATTAGAAAGAATCGACGAGGAAATGAGACCAAGACAGTCTTCGTCACAGTCTGGACGCACTGACTTCATTTTATGGTCTCCACGATCTTAACATTTTGTCTCGTCGTAAGCATCGCTGGTGAACAGGAAAATAGGTTCGTTATGGGAAAATTCGTCATCGCCATCATCGACTGCAGCAATACCGATTCTTCGTCGTGGAATGCGTCGCTTACGCACTGCGTTTCGGCAGATACACTTGTATCATGGAAAGGTTTACGATCTCGAGCGACTTTCTCGGTTACAAAATGCAAGGCGAATCGAATCCTTGAAACCAACGAGTTTGGTAATAGACCCCTGTGATGGTCGTGGAACCGTCGAGTACAATAAAAGGACGATGGAAAAAGAAAGGCGAAGAGGTTTCCCACGTGGCACAAAAGAGACTCGCTGGGGAAAAGTAACCCTTTGATGAAAGCAAGGAGACTCGAGACTTCCGCTGCTGCATCTTCATTCCACTCGATTCCTCGTTCTTCGTTCATTCAGAAAAGGACACACGAGGACGAGGCACTCCACTTTTCGGTAACGATGACGAAGATGCCCACGTGCGAGTGGTTCCCACGAGATCGTTGTTAGATGCGACGATCGCAAGGAAGCGATGAATGACCCAGATGAAAGACGGAACGCGGAAGGAACGTCGGGATTCCTTTCTCATCCGATCGTTCCACGATCCAAGTGGTGTTGGACTAAAATCCGAAGCCGTTTGGCTACATTCTCATATTCGTGGAGTAATAAAAGAAAAGAGAAACGGGACTGGTTTTGTAAATCATTTTTTCCCCCATGTACATACCTCAATTCTGGTAGGGAAATTGTACCGAGTCTTAGGAGTACATACATCGGCAAAATTTATCACTGATATTCTTGCTATTTCTTTCGATTTTTCTGTCTTAAAAAAAAAAAGATTCTTTGATCACCCTGGCGGA